TTTTTTTTCACGAAACACGAATGATTGCATCGGTAATGTATGCTGAAAGCTCATGACGCGTGCAAGATAAATTTGCTAGATAATAGAGATGAAACTGGAAAAGCTTCAGAGCAAAGACAATGCTCGGTCCAAAGTCGTCGTCTGTGACCAACGCTAAGGAATGACTTCAGAAGAACGGCTGAAGAGCTCAAATCTGTTACTCACAAAACAAAATGGAATAAACGGGGTGCAAGATTGCTGAGCTCATCGTGATTTCCAACCTCCATTCATGATAAGTCACAGTACAAAAAGCCCTTTCGTTCGCGATGGACCTCGGAGTAAGCAGGTAGACGGTCCCACGATGAATGTTCTACACCACCATTGATCGAATTTCCTCAGACTAAAGGTGGTTTCGCTCCGAAGTTCTCCATAGGATCAGACCATCATATCCTATACACTACATTCGATACTCCAATGCGCGGAAAAGAAGCAGCGGACTTCATCCCCAGTAATATTGCAGAAGCTTCACCATTCTGGATATACTTCCAAGAACCTACGAGAAATTTGTATCTATACTCTGAAGAGGTGTCGGATGAAACTCAAAGAAATCAGCAGAGTTTATTGCTCATTGGACATCTTGATGATTTTGCCAGTTACCAATAGAAATAAAAACAACTTTCAGTTCTTATGAGCTCTTTCTTTAGATTCTCTACGTGTTCAGTGATAAAATTTTTCCTTTCTCTATGGAAATGTCATGATATTATGGCCACGATAGCACATGATAAGTAATGCCATTTATGATCGCCAAGACATCCTGTGGGCGTAATGGGTTTGCCATTGTGTGCTCAAATGTTTAAACTCACCATTAGTATTTGGCGTTTCCGTAATTAGCATAATTTACCATTTATCATGTTTTAGACAAACTAAGCTGCTCAAATTTTCTTACAAATTATGTTCAGAGCTGATCTGCTTGTACTGACCTTCTTCACCGTGAATTTGGATTGTGCGAAGGTTTACAGGATGTTGTGTTCTTCTGCAAGATGTGCAAGAGCTAATGAACTCGAATGAGCCAAATTCCAACTTAACAAGAATTTCGAAAAAGCGCTAGCGTGGAACTGAACCTTCGAAGAGATCAGCGATTCCGGTAGCACATGAGAATAGCATCTTCGTCTTTAAAAAGGATGAAATGGGATTTTGATTCAAACCCTTCTGAGGGCCTCATCACTTGAACTACTCACGTCGCGGATCACTGCGATTTACTGGAAACGCTAATTCGCTAACGTGCACACGCACTGTTTGCAACTGCACAGAGTCGATGTGGAGCTAAAAAGCTTCAGCCTCCCATGAGTGAAGTTTCCATATGGTACGCCCACATGTCGCAAAAAAATTGGAATACAACAGCTGCGATGATCGCGAGCATATCTGAATGGAACATTAACATTCTTCCTGTCAAAGATGGCAGAGTTCTGGCAGCCTGGTAATCGTAGTAAGCCGATAATTTTAGGGAGTGAAATTCCGGTAAAAATGTAGTTGGGGGGGCCACCCATCCGAAGGCCAGCATATCAAGAAATGAACTCGGTCTCACATGTTAGCCCTTGTTATATCAGCGCTGTATCGGATGTGTAGAGCATGATGGGGATCGACCAGCTTAGCTCTTTTATGCGGTTTCCGCTGAGGAAATTTAGTTTCCCAAATGAGCCTAGGTAGGGTAGGAGCGCCTGGGTGACTGGGATGATTACCTCCTGCAAAAAAAAAAAGAAAAAATGAAAGAAAACTTGTCCACCGCGGTGCTCCTTCCTTACGAGAGCCCTTGATTAAAAACTGGCATGTTCGTGATATAACACGACATAACGCGTTTCATTGAGTTCATTTCTTGATATACCGACGTTGTGATAGGTGGCCCCCCCCCCAACTACATTTTCACCGAAATTCCTTTCTATGCTGCGTTAGGGCATGTGTGCGTGAGGAGTTTTGGGTATGAGTCACCATCATACATGTCCGCTCTCAATCAGCTAAGAGCTTACGTTCGAGTGATCGGTAAGTTCTGTTGAGCAAATCAGAGCAGTTCTTTTATTCATCCCTTTAGGGTCGCCGACCTACGCCAGCCTTCATTCTTCATTTCTACAACTATTATAGTTGAACCAGTTGGGCTACGCACGCCAATGCGTGCACCACATGCCCACGCTTAAAAGTGTCAATCGGTTGCTCTTCGTCTTGAAAATTATCAACCATTGAAGGTTTAAGTGATAGGCAACCGAAAAATTGAGTAGTACTCACTAATGTTCGTAAGTGATAATAACACCATTATCAGATTTTGTTATCACTGAACCTTCTTTCCTCCACGGGTACATCATTAGTTGAGAATCCCAAATTATTGGCGGTCGGATGAGCCTTGTCGTAAATGATATCAAAACATCAAGTAACCTTGATTTTCCACCAAGTTACAAACCTTGCTGGGTAGCGGTCGTAATCTATATAATAGTCGTAATCATAAATACATCGTAATACCACAGGAGTTAGATTCAGTTGGTAAGTGTTCTTATCAGTCGTTATCAGTTAGTATCTGTTCCTATCATCGATCGTCTACGATCCCGTCATACTCCACATCACATGCCAAAATGTCAAGGCTCCACTATTAATGCCATTATTATAGTGGCACTACGCTTTCGAGGATTTTCGTCAGCCCTTATCAGTTTTATCAGCTCCTGGCCTGGCACCAACCGTTCTCGATCCCGTCACCGAGTACCCACGATCCTGTAACATCTTACGTAACCTATTAAAATTCCAAGATTCCATCAATAAAAGAAAGTGCGTCATAGATCTAGTAGCTCTCGCCTTCTATGGTTTCTTATCAGTCCCTATCAGTTGTTATCAATCCCTGTCGTCAAACATTTGCGGTCCCTTCACATCCTACACCACCTGCCAAAGTGCCAAAGCTTCACCGCTAATACGAAGGCAGTTACGGATCCTGAGGCCTTTGCCTTTTAAGGCTCCTTATCAGTTTCTATCGCTAGTTGTCACTTCCTATCACCTGCCATCAGTGTTCCCATCCTGCCCCCTATCTCTCTTTCGAATTTGAATGCCCTAGGTCCAGTGGGACAGGAGTTATGAATTTCCGGTCAGACAAACACACACACAAACACACACACACATACACACACAAACACACCAACAGACACACTCAGCCGATTATATAAGTAGGATAGTTTGGTTAGAGGGGCGGGGAGGGGTGAGGCATCGCTTTCATCTCCCTTTCTTCTGCGCCCCTTCTCTTCACCAATTGTTTTAGCATTCTGAAGTGTAAAGCTCTCATAACACATAGAGTGTCCCCAGAATAATCTATCGAATTGATTAATTCAGTCACTTTTGTTCTCTAAAAAAATTTGTAACGTTGCCAAACTTTATATTGTAGGCGAGTTTGTAGAGCGAAGAACACAAAAAAGGATCACTCGAGCAATAGCCTCGACGGGCCTTGAATAGTTTTCAAAAGTCTATGAATTCGATAAAATCTGCAGCGGTAAGAGTGGTTTTAAACGTTTCCTCACATAGTGTCAGAAAATCTGAACCCCAAGAAAAAATTAAATTCAAAACCGGGCTACCCAAGGAGAAGCTTGAAAGTGAAATTGACCGTTCGCTGCTTACAAATGAGCGCAACAGTTTTATTGTAGAATATGAATTTTGACGGTTTTTTTCTCTATGACTACTTTAGAAGTTCTGAAAAAGGGATGGATTGATGATGTAGTGCTAAAGCTGCCATATCGTTTACAACGTTTATTTTTATTATGCTGACGAATTGTGGCTGAGTTGGCATCTCACTGGTGAGAAACCATTTGGCGTAGGTTACCCAGCTTGAGACTTTACGTGGAATGGACCACTTGTGGTGGGGCCTCCGTGGTTATCAGTGATGGTTGTCTCGCCGTTCTCCGTCCTATAAATTCAACTGTCACCTTTGATTGAGAACCTGAATTCCTTTACGGCTTCCCCTTATTTTTCCATAGAAAAAAAGCGGTAAATATGTTGTTGTTTTCTTTGGAAAAAGTGGCTGTGTAAAGTTTTCCAGCAATCGTTGCCATTACTGTGGTGACGCCGCTGGCTGTAGAGATGTTGGTTTCAGAACTGGCAGAAGCAGCCATACCTTTTTTTGGTAAACCTGGATGAAGATTCTCTTGCTCTTTGGAAAACTCTTCCTGAAAACTATTTCGAATGTACTGTATGTATGGAATAGACTTCCGGAAATCAATAGACAATGAAATACCCTGTCGCTGAGCCTCTTCGAGCGCTGCCTCTGCAATAGTCTACGGAAGTTTTCGACGAAGGTTTGCACCCTGGCTTCCTGAAAATTGTTTGGAAAAAAATGGCATCCATAAAAATCAGCAATGCAGAAACGAGATTGAACCTCGTCCGTCCCAGGATAGGCGTTCGGATGTTCCCTCTCCAAGAAACGACCAAGGTTCCCCCGTATTCTGGCAACTTCTTTCTGAAAATTGTTCGGAAAAGTATAATATATGAAAAACGTTGTGCAATGAAGAAATGGGACCGAACCCTGTCCTTGGCACGTCCCCCCTTCAAGAGACTACGGAGATCCTCTCTTATATTGGCAATTTCACTCTGAAAATTGTTCGAAAAAGTATAGCACATATGAAAAACGTTCGTCATTCAAGGAATGAGACCGAACCCCGTCGTCGAAATCCTCTCGCCGATGATGGGCTTTCGAACTTCTCAACTTCTCAAACTCTCTATCAAAGTAACGACGAAGGAGCTCTCGCATTCTGGCAAGGTCTTTCTGAAAATTATTCAAAAAAAAGATAGAAGATATGAAAAACGTTCTGATATGAAAAACTGTGAGAAGAATAGACCGAACCTTGTCCTTGGAATGTTCAAAGGAACGACCAATGCCCCTATCCAAATTGACAAGTTCTCTCTGAAAATTATTCGAAAAAGTGTGGCATGCATGATAAATGTTCGGCAATGAAGAAACGAATGCGAACCAAGCCGTTAAAAAAGTCGTTGGAATGATCCGGCTGAGGATGAGCGTTGGGTCGTTCTCTCTCCAAGAAACGCCGAAGGTTCTCTTGCAGTCCCTTCTGAAAATTGTTCGAAAAACTATGGCATATATGAAAACCGTTTGGCAATGAAGAAAGGAGAGCGAACCTTGCCCTTAAAACGTCCCCCTTCTAACAAACGACCAAGATCCTCATGCATCCCTCTCTGAAATAGTTTGAAAAAGTATGGCATATATAAAAAAACGTTCGGGAATGAATAAACGGAACCCTCTCCTTCCCTCTCTAAGAATTGACGAAGTTGCTTGTGCACACTAGCAAGTTTTTTCTGAAAATTGTTCGAAAAATTATGGCATGTATGNAAAAAAACATGCCATAATGATGCAAAGGGACCATACACTGTCGTTGAAAGTCTTTGGCGGAGGATGGCGTCGACACTGACTAGAGCACCAATCAATCAGAAAAAAAGTCGAAAAAGTGGCATGTATGGAAGAACATCCGGCAATCGAGAAACAGGATCTTTCATAAGGTTTAGCTCAGGTTTTTGACCTTATTTGTCCATGCTGAACTCACGCTGAACTCATACCAATCCTTAGATTGTTAGAGATAGCAGAGCCCTATGAATATATATTTCTTTCGCAAATTGAAAATCACGCAGAAGGCACTCTATTGCGAATACTGACTCTGGGGAGTTTGATTTCACTATGCGATGACTTGTTTTAAATTTAGCATGAAGGGACTGGCAGTGACAGCACGTTTGTTACTTACTAGTTGCAATTCCACTGGCGTGCGAACATACCTAAGGATTCACAAAGACTTCTTCATGGAGTTCACATGTGTGAAACCTCCTTCAACATTTCTCCTACCTCAGTTAATTATGCCTTCTTGTTGAACCTTTTGTAGTTGATGCACTTTTCATTGCGAATGATGGGATGTTCCAGCCATCTTTTGGACCGAGCCAGACAAGCATCCACATCCCGATCACGATCGACGCACAGCAGTCGCGGACCATCCGCCTCGTTATTACAGTTCTAGCGTTCGCCGTACAGCTCTATCGATATGCGATTATTATTTTTGACATAATTCCGATGCACCACACCCCCATAGACAGGCTTGAAATGGAGCCGTATATATCATCACACGTTCGTCTAGTCTTTCAACCAACTTTCACCAGTGTGGGTTCCAACATAATGATCAGGATTCGTTTTCGGTAAACTCCCGGTAAGCTTGCTCAGATTCAGTTCAGATAGACGCTCAGAGTGTTCTCCTTTTCAAAAAGTTAGTCAATTGTCTTAAAGCGTTTGTAGCAAGGAACCAACGTTCTTCAATTGAGATAAAAGCAATTTCGATCTTGAGTTTCAACTAAAAGAAAGGTCTGATATGGCTCAGTTGAAATATGCCTTCGTTGTGCGTTTTGCACAAAGGGGACTACAAAGCAATCGAGTAATTGGGCGCTACTGAGAAAGTCAGTACAACCTTGCTTATTACCCATGGGATCGCTGTTGAGACGCTGCCGTGCTAAGAGCAGCTAATCCAATCCTTAAACCAACCTCATTACTTGGGTAGTTCAGATGGAAAGGAATCAAGAGGGGTTTATATCAATGAGTATATCAATGAGTATCATACTTGGTCGAAAAAAGGATACAAATTTGGGAGCAATACAAGCGAGGCTAGCTATCAGGACCATTGAAGGATGATGGTAAAAGTTATGTTTCTGAAAGTTCCCATCTAGAGCTGCCGCTTCCATTGAATATTTGAATTGAGCAAGTTTTACAGCCCTTCGTTGAATAGAAAAGCACAAACCTGCGCATGAACAGCAATGGTTAGAAAAGCTAGAGCGAGTATTGTAGCATGGAACACTTCCATTTAAACACTGCAAATTGTTGCGAATGATCACACAAGAAGCTGTAAAGTAGGCGAACACATCAGAAAACGACGGCTTACGAAGCTAGCTGTCACCATTCTTGCAAGTGAGCTTATATACATGAGCAAACCTTTCGAAGCCATCAGCACTCAATCTTTTAGCGAATATGAATTGCATTATGGCTCTTGCTTCGATATTGAAAACGACTGCTGTCACCGACCCATCCATTTTAGAACGCGGAATCATCGTTATCGAAAACATGGTGAATGTAAGCTGAGACTACGGCTCATCACTGCTGAGAGCTGTTTCCATTCCAATCAGAGATTTGCAAAATTGAGAGATCTGCGAAATGCTGCGACCATTGAGTTCATACGATAATTGTTGAGTTCGTAAGCTCCTGAAAACTTGGTATTCTATCGAAAACCTTCCGTATTTTGATGGAGTAAACAGTAAGCGAAAAGCAAAGCAGCTAGTAGCTGGTTATTAATGCTTTTTATTTATTTATTTATTTATTTGGTACACCAAAGTGTGTGCCATACAACACAAAAGCAGGAACTGCAAGGCGATGGTCCTCTAAAAACAAAAAGAAAAAAGAGAAAAAATATACCTCAGAAAAACTGAGGATAAAGCCAGAATTGGAACGTGATACACGCCCTACTAGAGGAAAGGGGGGGGGGGGGGGGTTNTTATGATGTGTTAGTCTGATTGACATCTTCTTCCTCCTAGCTACGCATGGCGTAGCTACGCATGCTTGCGTGAAGAGTTTGAGGGCNGAGAAAGAAGGAAGCAAGAAGCTCGCATAAAGGGGCAATCGAAGAATGATGCTGGAACCTTTCTCATATGTACAGAAAAGCTATTTTCCTCTGTGAAAAAAGGCTTCTTTATGTTATACTGACCTAAGGCCCAATATGCATGGAGAAGCAACAGTACTAGGGCTTGCTGACCACCATAGCTCGGTGCGAACAATTTCAATTCGAGAGCACAGTGGGGTGGACGAAGAGGGACCTTAGGCAGAAGCACTAATCGTCTCACATCATCCTCAAACAGCCAGAGCACATAAAGATTAAGGCCTCAACATCATCTCATCAAAAGCATACTCCACCGAGGCTTCTTGCCTCGGAGCAAGGGAAAGGAAAACATTAAAACCGTGGCGAAATAATGAAATGAAACGAGCTATCTAAAGCAAACTAGGAAAATAACAGCTGTTACAAACAAAAATGCTGCTAAGAGCATGGAAGAGCTATTAGGGAAATTGGTCGATGGGCGCTCCATGAATCAGTAGAAGCAACAAGAAATATATCCAGAGAGGCAAGCAGAGATATGGGCACCAGTAATCTAGCTCGAGAACTAGACGTGAGACGTCGGAGACATATTGTAAAGAAGGCAGCCGCAAGAGGAAATCGAAATGCCGGAAAGTCAATGTAATCGTCAAGCATGTTGTGGAGTACCTAAGACACGCAAGAGATCGAGCTTGCTCAGTCTACTTTTGAATATCTTACTGATCGATACTCGAGCAACATGGGGCGGAAAAAGCTCGAACCATCTAGCACAACGATTAAGAAGGTTATTGAATATTAAAGTATAGCTCTCGGTTTGAATGGGCGGATAGTGTAAATTGAACCCACCTATTCTTTCACTAGCAGGTCTGAAAACTTGCTGTCCAGTACTTACTTGCTGATAATCTCACCTCTTCCCAAAGGACACGAAAACAGAACACTAAAACAGACATTACTCGCCGATACTGCAATGAATTAAGAGATAGCAATTTCAATAACACAGTACGGCAGAATGCTTGCAGCAGGCCTGGTTCTGTACCAAAGCAGTCGAGTAAACACGTTGAACTCGTTCAAGCTTTTGAATTTCCTTTTTGAGACAAGGGCCCCACGCTTGCGAGCAATACTCTTAGTGGGGCAGCACATATGCTTTGTAGAGACGCAGGATTATAGATGAATTGGAACATCTCGTATTTCCCATTTTCAGAAATAAGGCAGCAAAAGCTTTTATAACGGCACTGTCAGTCAGGCTTAAAAACATCAAGCTTGTATCAAAAATAACCCCCAGATCTTTCGTAGAACTCGTTCCTGGAAGGGTTATGCCATTCACTACCTAATCATTTACTACAGGATTGCCGAAGTGCATCATTACCTTTGTTGTTCAAGGGAATATCCCATAAGTAAGCCCGTTCATTCATTCTCTTCACGGACAGTCTAAGTGCTTGCTGCACCACTCCAGCACTCATAGCATCATAAGCAGCGTATACTTTGATGTCATCGGCATAAATTTATACATGAACCTCACCACAAGTTCTGAGAAGCTGAGGCACTTCAATTGTGTGAACCAAAGAGAGCAGTGGAAACAGAACTCCGCCTTGCGGAATGCCACTGGTACAAGCGTAGCTACCAGAAAAACTATTGTCGACACGAACAGTGAAACTCCTTTCAGATAGATATTACATTATCCACTTAAGTGTGTTACCTCGAATACCGTAGCATTCCAACTTACTGATCAGCTTGGAATAACAAACTTTATCGAAGGCCTTCGAAAGGTCAGGTGGATGACATCTACGGATTTACCATTGTTGATATCCGAAAAACATCATAAAGTGTATCGAGTAGATTAGTACAGGTAGAGGCCCCAGGAAGGGAACCGTGCTGCTCTCCAGGAATGAGGCAGAATTTTTCAAACCACGCGAAAAGTTATCAAACATCATCTTCTTTATCACCTTAGCAGCTGTGGAAGTAGGGCTGATAGGCCTTTGGTCGTTAACTCTAGTGGCTCCTATGGATGGCAGTCACAATGGCACTTTTCCAAGGCCTGGGAAGCTCTCCTAGAAGAAGCGATATGTTGAACAAGAGAGCACGTGGGTTGCATAAAAAATTATAGCACTTTCTAAAAAGAATTTGGGGTATAACATCGAAGGGCTCACTAACCGATGGTTTCAATGTTTTTAGAACAGTACGATCACCAGATGGGTGGAGAAGATATCAGTAATGTTAGTTCAAAGATTAAGTAACTATAATCCATCAGATTGGAATTGAACTAGGTCCCAAGAAAACACTCGCAAAATACCTTCCCAGGGACACCGCTTTAGTGTTATCACTATAGAGCCTGGTAGGGTTCTGATCTTCTAGAACAGGTGAACCTGACTTCGATTTAAGTTTTCTGTGAAGAAAGAGGTGGAGACGCTTCAGTGAATTTTGGATCCCGAGGCGATGTTCGAAACGAGACAGAAACTTCTTGAGATGACGTTCAAGGTCAGAGCAGGTCTTTCGATAGAGAGAGGAATTCAGCGGAGAGTCCAAGCTCGAAATAGTCTTTCCTTCTGCGTTAGCAAGTTTTTAATATGTGTTGGGTATTGGATTAGTCGGGACTTAGGAAATTTAATGGGAACAAATTTCGAAAGAGAGTCATAAATTGCCGCCTGAACCTTTGGTACACATCGTCGACGGAACTGTACCTGTCGAAAAGCATCAGTCAGTCAAGTCCGAAAAGGTATTCATCAAGGGCTTTATAGTCAACGCCCAGAAAATTAGGAAAGGGGAGGTTATTAGGTACTCCAAACTCCTCCATCACGTTAAAGCTAATGGAGGCATGATCAGAGTTTGTCAGCGGCGATGTAATCGAGACGTTACTCATGTTGGAAATAGTGGATAAGATGCAATCAGGAGTATTATTGCCATAGGTTGGTGCGAAGACGAACTGCATAAGCCAACCTCTTGAAAAAATTCCAAAAAGCTGGATAAACTGAATCAAAAGCACGCAGTTTCATCCAATCCATCGCCAAATTGAAATCGCCTAGAATAACACAGTTGATCACAGTCGAGACAAGTTTACGAAGCAGTTCGAGCAGTTCGATCAACTCATCGTCCTCCTTTCTGTTTGAATTCGGTGGTCCGTACACGAGTGTAAAGCGAATTCGCGAAAGTTTCAAATGAGAAAAAAGTTCAAGTCAGGAGACTTCAGCTTTCGTAGAACTTATTGCAATGGGATGACTATGAAGATTACCTTTGGCTAAGCAGAACACCCCACCTCCTCCACCATCGACCTGATCCAATCAGTATAACAAGTACGGGAACGCGGCTACAACCTTGGAATCGAAAATGTCGAAGTGAGCCATGTCTCAGTTACAAAAAGCAAATCGGGAAGTTTTTGGGTTATAAGGGCCTTTAGGTAATCTATTTCATTACGAAGACTACGGGCGTTTAGTAATTGACACGAAAACACAGAATTACAATGCAGCGTTAGTGGTTTCCCGAACGTCTGTGTAGTAATTCGGAAGCTCGCTTGAACTCGCCTTGATAAACAACCCATTCACTAGTGCCACTACCCTTATTACGCTCCGAGCTTCTTGTCGTAGCTCATATTCCCGTTTCCTCTCATCCTCAGACATGCTCCGACGTATGAAAACATTCGGCAGCTCAGCCTCTTGTAGTAGACGTGCATTGCAAGGACACGGCGCCATTGGTAGGACCACTTTTACAAGACGAGGTCGTTTCGGATTCGGCTTACCCATGCGATACATTTCAATCGGGCGGCGCACCAAGGCACTCCGAAACCCTGAAAACTTTGTCTTCAAGATCCCTTTGACCCGCTGATGGCGGAAGACCACCTTCCATCAAACCTGAATTAACTATGCTACATACCCGTTTGTCGCTCTCGAGGCGATCTGAAAATTCCATTGGTATCTTCCCCGAAAGGGCAATAATCATATTTTCTATAGCTGGATCGTGGTTGAGTTCGATTATGCTTCTAGGAGCTCCATCGCCGACATATTTTGGAAATTTTCCGCCCCAAGATTGGCAGTGTGTGTGTCTCCTTTGCTAGTCAAGCTTGATGGTGGCTGAGAACTGCTCGAAGAAGCTTTCTTAGAGCGCTGCTGTTTGGATGGCATCCTCCGTGTCCTTTGATCTACCCGATTTTGAGTCCACTGAGTCAATAATTACAAATAGCAGGCGACTAAGGAAGGATAAAAAACACTGTAGTGAAAAACTACTGAGAAAGCCAGGCAAAAGCTGCAAAAATAAACTACGAATGAAAAGTTCAAAGGACTAGAAAAGATCTAGAGATTGTAAAAAGATGTATTATTAGAAAAAAGAATTAACAGAATAAAAACTGAGGAACAGACGGCAGAAAGGACGACCGACGACCTCAAGGGTTGAGTTAGTTATGCAATGTTTACTGCTCTGGAGTATATATGCAGAAATGGAAAAGTACACAGTTGGTCTGATTTTGCACAAAATAAGCTGCTCGAATTTTTCTAAGCACTACTCACAGATTATGTTCAGAGCTGATCTATTTGTATTTGATCTTCTTCACCTTGAGGTCTGAGCGGGGGTTTGCATCTTTCTGCCCTTCTGTAGGATGTGCAGGAACAAATGAACTCGAGTAACAGAACCAAATTTTAACTACATAAAACAGAATTTCAAAAAAGCGCTAGCGTAGAACTGAACCTTCGGAGAGAGGGAAGGGATTTCGGTAACACTTGAGAATAGCAACTTCGTCTTTGAAGTGGACGAAATGAGGGGATGATGATTCAGACCCTTCTAAAAACTCATTACTTAAACTACTCACGTCGCAGCCCAGATCACTGCGATCTATTGAACGACACTGATTAAACGCGCACACGCACTGTGTGCAGCTTCGCAGAGTCGCTGCGTTGCTAAAAAGCTTCAGCCACCTATGAGTGAAGTTTCCCTGCTTCACAACAAGGTACGCCCACATGTCGCAAAAAAAATGGTTTGCAATAGCTACGATGATTGCGAGCATCTCTAAATAGAAATTTATCATTAGTCCTGTCGAAGACAGCAGAGTTCTGACAGATTGGTATCCGTTCTGGGCGATTGGTATCTGTAGTTAGCCGAAAATTTCAGAAAGTGGAATTTCTTTTTATGATGTGTTAGTCTGATTGACATCTTCTTCCTCCTCGCAGGCGTAGCTACGCATGCTTGCGTGAAGAGTTTGAGGGCGTGTATCGGTATCATACATGTCACATGTCCGCTCTCAATCAGCTAAGAGTTTACGTTTGAGTGATCGGTAAGTTCTGTTGAGCAAATCAGTATAGTCTCTTATATACATCCCAGTAGAGTAGCTGGCTTCCGCCGGCCTTCATTCCTCCCTTCTACAATTAGTTGAAGAGTTTGGTTAGAGGGCGGGGGAGGGAGGCATTGCTTTTATCTCCCTTTCTTCGGCGCCCCTTCTTTCCACGAATTGTTTTAGCATTCTGATGTGTAGAGCTCTCATGTCACATAGAGTGTCCCCAGAATATTCTATCGGATTGATGAATTCAATTACTTTTGTTCTCTAAAAAATTTGCAACGTCGCAAAACTTTATATTGTAGGCGAGTTTGTAGAGCGAAGACCACGAAAAAGGATCGCTCGAGAAATAGACTTCACGTCCCTTAAATAGTAATTGAAAATCTATGGATTCGATAAAATCTGCAGCGATAAGAGTGGTGTGCAACGTTCCATCATATAGTGTCAGAACATCTGAATCCCAAGGAAAAATCACATCTCAAAACCGGGCTACCGAAGGAGAAGCTTCAAAGTGAAATTGACCGTTCGCTGCTAACAAATGAGCGTAACAGTTCTACTGTAGAACATGAATTTTGATAGTTTCTTTCTTTATGACTACTTTAGGGGTCGCAAAACAAGGTTGGTTTGATGATGTAGTACTAAAGCTATCATATCGTTTGTAACGTTTATTTTTATTATGCTGATGAATTGTGGCTGAGTTGGCATCTCTCTGGTGAGAGACCATTTCAGGTTACCCTCTTAAGACTTTACGTGGAATGGACCACTTCCAGTGGTGGGATCTCCGCGGCCATCAGTGATGGTTGTCTCTCCGTTCTCCGTCCTGTAAATATAACTGTTACCGTTGATTGAAAACCTGAATTCCTCTACGGCTTTTCCTTATTAGGAAATAGCGGTGGATTTGTTGTTGTTTTCATTGGGAAAAGAGGCTGTATAACGTATTCCAGCAATCGTTGCCATTACTGTTGTGACGCCGTTGGCCGTAGAGATATTGGTTTCAGAACTTGCAGAAGCAGCCATACCTTTTTTTGGTGAGCGTCGACGAAGATTCTCTTGCACTCTAAAAAATTCCTCCTCAAAATATAATAGTTCGAAAAATGCACTGTATGTATGAAAATGGCTTCCGGAAATCAATAGACAGCGAAATACCCTGTCGCTGAGCCTCTTCGAGCGTTGCCTCTGCAATAGTCTACGGAAGTTTTTGACGAAGTTTCGCACTGCTTCTTCCTGAAAATTGTTTGGATAAAATGGCACCCATAAAAAAGGTTTAGCAATGCAGAAACGAGACCGAACCCCGTCGTTGAAACCCCGTCGCCGGGAGATGAGACCTCCATATTTCTCATAAAACTGTTCGTTGAAACTTCTCATTCTCTCGAACTCTTTGTTAAAGTAGCGACGAAGGTTCTCTCGTATTCTGGCCAGCTCTCGCTGAAAATTGTTTGTTCGAAAAAAGGATAGAAGACATGAAAAACGCTTGGCTGTGAAGAGAATAGACCGAACATTGTCCTTGGCATGTTCAGTGAAACGAGTAAGGCTCTTATCCAATCTGGCAAGTTCTTCCTGAAAATTGTTCGAAAAAGTGTGGCATGAATGATAAATGTTCGGCAATGAAGAAACGAAAGCGAACCAAGCCCCTAATCATGTCTTCGATATGCTCCGGATGAGGATAAGCACTGGATCGTTTTCTCTCCGAGGAACGCCAATGTTTTTCTTGCAATTCTTGCTGAAAATTATTCGAAAAAGTATGGCATTTATGAAAAAAACATGATATAATGATCGAAAGGGACCGTACACCGTTGTTGAAAGTCTTCGGCGGAGGATGGGGTCGACACTGACTATAGCACCAATCAGAAAAAAAAGTCGAAAATGTGGCATGCATGGAAGAACATCCGACAATCGAGAGACAGGATCTTTCATGAGGTTCAGCTCAGGTTTTTAACCTTATTTGTCCATGCTAAACTCATACTAATCCTTAGATTGTTGGAGAACGCAGAGACCGTATGAATATGCAGGGTGACCCACATGAAGCGTGACGGGCAATAAAAAAATCAACTTATGAGCTTCTGTGCTGTAGGATGCGGTGGTCCTTTGGGCGGAAAGGAACTCGATAAAGGTCAGCTGAACCTTTCGTAGGGTTGGGCACCAGCCCACATTGCAAAGATGATGCTGTAATGTTGTAAAACCACGCTTCCAGGTTTTTCGGGAGAAGCAGGTTTGGCGCTGAATGAACTATTTTGGAGCAAAAAGCCTGCGCTTTCAAAAACAGGTCTCCAGACCCTCTGAAAAAAAGCTCTCTTATAGAGTCGTGGGATGAAAGTGATGGCGCGCATTCTTGAAAACTTCCGAAAGAGGTTGGATGCTTGCATTAAAGCGAAATATGGTCGTTCTGCATGCGAGATGTGATATGTTGTTTACAATTTTGTGATGATTGTGTAGGAGTAATAGGTTCCTACTTGGTTTGATCTGTATAATTTTGATGCTAGTTTTCTGCGTCACACTTCATGTGGGTCACCCTGTATATTTCATTCGCACATTGAAAATCACGCAGAAGACACTCTCGATTGCGAATACGGACTTCTTGGGTGTTTCATTACACTATGCGATGACTTGCGTAATGGGGTTGGCAGTGACAGTACGTTCGTTATGTATCAGTTGCCATTCTGCTAGCGTGGGAACATCATCCCTGAGGATCCACAAAGGCACCTTCATGGAGTTCACATGTGTGAAACCTCCTTCGACATTTCTCCCGCCTCAGCTCAGCATGCCTTCCTGTGGACCTTTTGTAGTGAATGCACTTTCATTGCAAATGATGGGATGTTCCAGCCATCCTTTGGACGGAGCCAGACAAGCGTCCACACCTCGATCACGATCGACGCGCAGCAGTCGCGGACCATCCGCCTCGTTATTACAGATATATCGTTCGCCATATATGTAGCTCTAAAGATTTGCGATTATAATTTTTGGCATAATTATAATATTAGTTTTTTGCTCCTGTAATTCTTACTTACTGCTCCATTCTGCCACATTCCTTCTCGCACGGCGTCCCTCTCCTTGCGACGCGAAAATTTCGATCCTACTGCACCACACCCGATAGACAGGCTTGAGATGGTGCCGCATATATCATCACATGTTCGCCTAGTCTTTCAACCAACTTTCAATTATGAGAGTGTGGGTTCCAACATGATGATCATTTCTTCGAAGATGCGATAGGATTCGTTTTCGGTAAACTCCCGGTTAGCTTGCTCAGATTCAGTTCAGATAGACGCTCAAACTGTTCTCCTTTTCAAAAAGGTAGTCAATCGTCTTAAAGCGTTTGTACCAAGGAACCAACGTTCTTCAATTGAGATAGAAGCAATTTCGATCTTAGAGCTTTAACTAAGAAGAAAGGTCTGATATGGCTCAGTTAATGAAGGTGCCTTCTTTGTGCGTTTTGCACAAAGGGGACTACAAAGCAATTGAGCAATTGAGCGCTACTGAGAAAGTCAGTATAACCTTGCTTATTACCCATGGGATCGCTGTTGAGACGCTGCCGTGCTAAGAGCAGCTAATCCAATCCTCAAACCAACCTCATTACTTAGGTAGTTCAGATGGAAAGGAATCAAGAGTGGTTTATATCAATGAGTATCATACTTGGTCGAAAAAAGGATACAAGTTTGGGAGCAATACAAGCGAGGCTAGCTATCAGGACCATTGAAGGATGATGGTAAAAGTTATGTTTCTGAAAGTTCCCATCTAGAGCTGCCGCTTCCGCTAAATATTTGAATTCAGCAACTTTTACAGCCCTTCGTTGAATAGAAAAGCACAAACCTGCGCATGAACAGCAAAGGTTAGAAAAGCTAGAGCGAGTATTGTAGCATGGAACACTTCCATTTGTACACTGCAAATTGTTGCGAATGATCACACAGGAAGCTGTAAAGTAGGCGAACAAGTTAGAAAAGGATGGATTATGAAGTTAGCTGTCACCATTATATAAAGTGAGCTTATATACATGAGCAAACCTTTCAAAACCATTAACATTCAATCTTTTGGCGAAAATGTAATGCATTAGACACTCACTTCAACATTGACAGACGATTCCTGCCACCGACAGTTCCATTTTAGAACACGAAATCAACGTTATCGAAGACGTGGTGAATGTAAGCTGAGACTACGGCTCATCACTGCTGAAAGCTGTTTCCATTCCAATCAGAGATTTGCAAAATCGAGAGATCTGCGAAATGCTGCGATCATTGGGCTTCATACGATATTTGTTGAGTTCGTAAGCTCTCGGAAATACGGTATTCTATCAAAGAGTTCCCGTATTTTGATGGAGTAAACAGTAAACGGAAAGTTAAGCACCGTAGAAACTGGTCATTAATGTTATGCAATGTTTAGTGCTCTGGAGTATATATGCAGCAATGGAAAAGTACACAGTTGTTCTGCCTGTCAAGCGCATACAAAAAGGCATATGATTGTGCGGCTCTTTCCTCTGATCTCGAGGGAGCCTACATCTCGAGGGCAGCACGAATATGCCCTCCTAGAAGAGGTTCTCATAAAGGCTTCAACAGCCTGTCCAAAAAAGAGAACGGCTTATATGGTAATCTCTTTCTCATGAAACACGAGTGATTGCATCGGGACTGCATGCTGAAGGTTTTTGTTGCGTGCTAGGTAGATCGAAGACGACGTCATCGCGCTGACAAATGACACAGGGTGGCATTGCCAGCTGCATGCCATTTTTGAGGCTGGGAAAGAGCTATTCGTGGGAACTTGCGGCAGCAGAGGTGCCGTCGGTTCATGTGCCTTCATCCACATAATCAAACCCAATCAACGTCGATTAGTACGAAAGCTTGACAACACGAATAGAAAGTGTGTGATTGCGAAGATATTCCTTAGTTCAGCTCATCACGAACATCACTCGTTGCCTACGCAACAACACCGGCCTACGAAGGAGAGAACTGGAAGTGTCTCATGCGGACCTAGAAAAGCTTCGGAGCAAAGGTAATGCTTTTAGTAAAGTCGCCGTTTGCGACCAAAGCTAAGGAATGGAAAATGGAATAAACGGGGTGCAAAACTGTTGAGCTTAGTGTTGTGTTGAGCGATGAACCTCGGAGTTATCTTGTAGACAGTTCCATAATGATTTGTCCTACACCACCATTGATCGTGCCGTCGGTCTTTCGTATTTCCCCTAACTAAAGTTCCTTTTGTTCTAAAGTTCTTCACAGGATTAGACTATCATATCCTGCACACTACATTCGATACTTCAATGCGTGGAAAAGAAGCAGCGGACTTCATCCCCAGTAATATTGCAGAAGTTTCACCATTCTGGATATACTTCCAAGAACCTGCGAGAAATTTGTTTCTATACTCTGAAGAGGTATCGGATGAAACTCAAAGAAATCAGCACCTCGCAGATATTATTAATCATTGGCCATCTTGATGATTTTGCTAGTCATTAATAGGAATAAAAACAGCTTTCAATTCTTAAAAGCTCTTTTTTTAAATTCTCCACGTGTACGATGGGAAAAGTTTTTCTTCCCATATGGGATTGTCATGATTTTATCGCGATGATAGCACTTAAAAATTAATGCCATTTATAATCGCCAAGAGTATCCGTGGACGCATTAGTTTGCCATTGTTTGCTCCAGTATCTAAACTCACGATTAATATTCCGTTATTAGCATAAGTCACCATTTATCACGTTTTGCACAAATAAGCTGCTTATCTTAACTACTACTTACAGATTATGTTCAGTGCTGAACTATTTGTATGACCTTCTTCACCACGAGCTTTGAGCGGAGGTTTCCATTTTTCTGCCCTTCTGTAGGATGTGCAGGAACAAATGAACTCGAATAACAGAACCAAATTCCAACTAAACCAGAATTTCGCAAAAGGGCTAATTCAGGACTGAACCTTCGGAGGGATCAACGATTTCGGTAACACTTGAAAATAGCATCTTCGTCTTTGAAGTGGATGAGATGAGGGGATGATGACTCAAACCCTTCTGAGACCTGATCACTTCAACTACTCACGTCGCAGCCCGGAACACTGCGATCTACTGCACGACACTGATTAAACGTGCACACGCACTGTGAGCAGCTGCAAAAAGTCGCTGCGGGGCTAAAAAGCTTCAGCTTCCTATGAGTGAAGTTTCCCTGCTTCACAATAAGGTCCGCCCACATGTCGCAAAGAAATTGGAGTACAATAGCTACGATGATTGCGAGCATCTCTAAATTGAACTTTATCATTCTTCTGTCTAAGAGCTCTGATAGGTTGCTATTCGTTTGGCAGATTGGTATGCTAGTCGGGATGCCGGGTGCTCCTGCTGCTCATGCAGAATGGCCTTTCGCTTGTATCTTCTTCCAATTTGGGCGCTTTGGTACTGTAGAACAAAAAATAAAAATTTTCTGCTAAACACACGCATACACACCAACACACTCGCTACATGACCAGGCGCTAGGTGGACGATAGAAGTAAATCCTGGTCCGAATGACACTGGTCTTTGCTTAGAGACCCCTACATATTTAGAAAGTAAAATCCCCCTTTATGTTAAGTCAGTCTGTTGATATCTTCTTTCTCCTCGC